GTGCGTGGGGCGGAAAGTCAAAGACTCCCAACCGCCACGTCACCCGGTGTGACCGACAGCTCACACCAGCCCACACCCGCCACGTCACCAGCGCGACGCGACACCACACGCCCACCACCACCCACGTGCCCAACCACCACAACACCCAGGGCGACATGACACGACACACACCGTGACGCACCCCCGCCCGAAGGCCACGACACACGGAAGGGCCCGACGAACGGACACCCGATACCTGAGGCAACACCGACGGCCCCCACACCCCTGCGAGCACCCCCGCTCCCTGCTGCCACATCACGGAACACGCACAACAAGACCAGCACCGCCACATCACCCAACCCGACGGCGCCCGACGGACACGGAAACAACTGCGACGCCTGCGGGTGGCGCCACATTGCCCACACACGCGCCCAACCACCACGTCACTCATCATGACACCATACCGCCGTGTCATGCATCCCCGCAGCCATGCAATTGTGCGCGGCCATGGATTCTTTTTGTTTAACTAGTTAATATTAATGTAGTAGATTGTCAAACAATATATTCCTTTTTCTAATTCATGTTGCAAGTCCACTTAAAGTCCGATTGGAGTCTGATTGGAGGCTGATCGGATTCCCTGGTTGTACAGCCGTGACACGTCCGAGTTCACCCACTGTGTCGACGGTCTCCAGCTGTTAGAAACGCTCTGTGGGCTATCAAATCTCGTTCCCAACTTATCTCCCATCAACCACCTTGATGGTTGTTACTGTACAGCATTCCTGTGTTGCAGGCTGTGTTGGTTGCATCACCATCTTGATGGTGACTTACTACATTGCCTGTTGACCAGATCAGTTTCCTTAGCTACCATCTATCCAGTGCACACAGCCTTCTTGTGCACAGTATATATAGTAGATTAGATTGACCTGAAGTCCCCAGTTTCTAACTTCGGACTTCAGGTGAGTAGATCAGTCAGTTCCTCAATAAACTAGTTTCTAACTTCGGACTTCAGCTTGTAGCTGTCTAACCTGACATCCCTGCGCTTGCCTGTTCTAACAGGTTATGGGCCCCGCGCTCTAAGAGCTTAGTTCGATTTTTTGATTCTCACTTGCCTTTATAGTGTGTGCAGCTCCCTTTAGTTACTTTGCCTTCCAACTGTTGGGCCTCTACCCTTTAGTGGGTGTTGCTTATAACCTACCTCAGAAATATCGCGGTATGTTCTCTATCAGAAAGGAGGAAGAGGAGTCACTTCAAACTCTTATGAACAGAGTTGACCTGGCATTGCGTCGCATCAAGGATTTGCGCCCTGCTTCCTTCAGCATTGACGAATTGGACAGTGAGCTAGCCATGGCACTCATTAGATCTCTGCCTGAAGAGTTCTCCAACTTCACCTCGTCTCTCCTCCTTCTTGACAAACTCGACAAGACTACCATTCAGCAACAGAGGAAACCCAACGACGTCGTCACACTGCAGACACTTCTGCCACAGTTGCCCTGGCTGCAGCCCTGGTCAACGCAATTTGTGACTTCTGTGGCAAACCTGGTCATAATGTGACTAAATGCTTCGCTTACCAAAGGGCACAGAAGCAGGCTAAAGACAACGCACAAAGGCCACGCCAAAAAGCGCTCAGAACAGGCTAATGCAGCCAAGGACACCCCCGAGGAATTTGCTGGAAATGCAAGTACTCGTCTCCCAGATCATTCTGATCTCTCTACTCCGCTTCAGCTCCATGCTGACTTTGATTGGATTGCAGACACAGGCGCCACTACTCACATGACGCCCCACCAAAATTGGGTTCGCAACTATACCCCCTGTCATATTCCAATCAGGTTAGCAGACAACATTATTTATTCAGCTGGAGTTGGTTCTGTAGTTTTCAAGCCAATAGTCAATGGCAAGGAGCTCAGAGCTATAGAGTTTACCTTGCATGTCCCCTTACTCCGAAACAACCTTCTATCCTGTCTATACTTAACTCGAAATAAAGGCTATCATATCCACATTGATTCTAAACCATGCATTTCAGTTTAGATGGAAAGAAGTTGTTCTGTGCATCCATTTACTCCAACAACTCTGCACGTTTGGATGGATCCACTGAACCAATTTCGGAGTTTGACATCCCTGCGCTTGCCTGTTCTAACACCGTGATCCAGACAGAGTGGTGCATCGTGTTCTTTCTTGCTGAGCTCTGCTAATAATACTTTTAAGGCGTCGAGGCTGCTGGACTTGTTCATTATGCGAAGAAGGCAACGACAGTCATAATCGTAGAAGATGAGCATGTTACAATGACTATGACCATGACCGTCAAGGAAGAACATCAGTATACCAATCGACGATCTTCACCCATCAAAGGTGATCGCACTGCTACTCGAGCTCGCGGAGTGTAGCCATCATTCTCTGATCGCCCTTCGTCTCCTGTGCACCAGTCGTCTTCTACATGCCCATCGACTCCAATTCGCTCCTCGTCCCCAGCGTACCCACCTTCCCCCATACTTTTCCAGCCGATGTCATGCCCTTTCTCTTTCCGTTCGGCATCTGATTTAGACCCAGAGGATGACAGGTCCGTCTCCCACCCCTCCACTCCCACTAGACGTCGCGATGCCATACTCGAAGTGTGGGCGTCCTCCGTTTCTTCCCCGTTGTTCGTGATGCGAGGGCCCACACCTTACGTGATTGCGATGTCAAAGAAAAACAGGCGGCTGCCTCGATGGCAGTCAGTCCTCGAACATGAAGGCTTTGATCTTCCCATCATCAACACCATCACCACATCCTGCATCTGTGACTTCAGTCCTTACATCCGGAGAGTGGGAACATCCTTGGATGTGGCTAATTACGAGGTTGTATTCTGGCTCCATGAGCTTGGTGTCCCGGTATGGTACCAGTTGAAAGATGATCACGCACGTCATCCATTGTTGAAGGCCTTTGCCCCTCCTCCCTATACGCCTTCGATCGCCACTCATGACTCAGTAATGCTGCCCCGTTTCTCGACACTTGCCCGTGATTTGTCTACATCCTACAAGATCCTGACAAAAGCGGAACGGCTCGCTGTTGTCAACTTCCGTTTCAAAATGCATGACAAGGCCAATGAACAGAAAGTGCAGAGGGAAACTGCAGATGATAGGCAGAGGAGGCTGAACCGCATGAGACAACCACCCACCATGTCTGCCAGTGTCTTTGTATGGGAGGAGGACTCAGAAGACAGCACCAAATTTGTGAGGTGCGCAGTGCCGAAGCAAGAACGAGAAGAGACCCTTGGGTGGTTCAGCTGCAGTCAGAAGAGATACGGCATGTTCTGGAATGAATGGGATTGCTGCGTAGACCTGGGTGACAACGACGAAGGCGATGATGATGAATACAGCGACGACGAGCCCTTCGACCTGTCAGATACATTGTTGGATGAAGTGCCCATAGAACATCCAAGATGCCTTAGTCCTTCAGAAATCCCAGGGAAACAAACCGACGGCAAGTCTTTCGGACACTTCAACGAAGTGAAGTACTCCAGCAATAACTTTGCGCTGATGTGCAACAGCTGGCAGGAAGACTTCTTGGAAACATTACCAACATATTACGCGTACATCCCCCCCTTGCCTTACCCAATGTACCTGGCGCCAATCATGAACCAGGCCGATGCTAAGTTGGTGTTCAAGTTTTTCGGAGAATTATTGACCCACACATTGTCCTTCTATAAACATCAGCTGGTCGCTCCGCTGGCCCAACAGTATATGCAGCAGCTCATGAAGTGAGGCGTTCCACCACTGGTCTCATGCAACATCAACAACTCAAACTGTGTGCCTCTTGCAACCTCCAATAGGCTGCGACATCTGCAAAAAGTGTTTACTGGTCCAAGACAGAACAAGGCTTGGTACATGTTCGACCTCAACAACGCAGCAACCACCAACTGGCACCTTGCAGTCCAAAATGTGAGAGACGCGTTGGTGATCTGTAGGCTGCCAAATATCTGGTCCGAGAGCGAGATCGCCCAATACCTCCTGCGACATGAAGTCCGCTTCCACACCTTGCAGTCTGACAAAACCATCCTCAGAGCCAAGAAACAGCTGTTCTCTCCCTGTGTTTTCCTCACTCGTCCAAAGAAGTACTCTTTCAGCGACAGAGATTATGACGCTTACGTTCTGCAGTGTAGTGCCATGTTCTCTCAACCTTCCGCACAGGCAGCACTGATACGAGGTGGATTTGTTTGGGGATTGACTGTGCTGAACATCAGCTTCGGGCAGTGTTGGATGGTCCATCTGGCTGGAGTGAACTGCAGATGATGTTCACGGCTACAGACATCAATACAGGCGAGGTCTTTCTCGACGACGAGCTGACGATGATTGAACTGGACTTGATATGTGGTGCATACATTGACATGAATAACACAAGGCGCCCAGGATGATATTTTGATAAAACAGTCTGAAAATGATGTGAAGGTGCTTTTTGTGAGGAGCCACTATGATAAGTGAACATATGATAGAGCAAATCTTGTATTTCATTGACAATCATAGTGTAAACAAATCCAGAATTCATTTTTCAATTATATGCAAGAAATTTTCACAATATTTTCACAATATAATCAGTGAAGATTTCATGACATGTTTACAATATGGTCAGCTATTCAGAATATTTTCACCATATCTTCAACATAGTTTGAAATACCTCTCTATATTGTGAATATATTATAAAATCTTCACTGATCATATCGTGAAAATATTGTGAATGTTTTTTAACATTTCTTTAGATAATAAATTCTGAATTTGTTCCCACTATGATTTTCAACAAAATCCAAGTTTTGCTCTATCATATGTTCATATATCATAGTGGTTTCTCACAAAGAGCACCTTCACAATATTTTCAGGCTTTGCTTCATCAAAATAGTGTCCTGGGCACCTTGTGTAAGGTTTCAGCTTCTTTTTTTCCATAGCATGCTAACTTGCGATAATGTACCCGTCCAAAACATGGTTTGTTTATCCTTGACCACAGATGCATGTGTATACTGTGTACAAATACCACCACCAGTCGCCACAAGTACCGCCATTGTAGCACAACTGGTCTAGTGCATTGCCTTCCTATGCCCTCCAAGGGAACGCGTAGAATAGGCAAAGGTTATGGGTTCGAGTCCCATCGATGGTTCTTTTTTGGGTATGCCCAGCTACATATTTGCAAGATACCTGTAGGTGCTGGCTACATCTTTGCACCTCTGAATGTCGTTAGCTTTAGAAACATGACTCTACGGTGCCCTCCATGATAGCAGAATGGAAGTTGACAGAGTTCCAAAGCCCAATTGCGCGTTGACAATGTCTCTGTTAGGCTTACACGTCAACGTCCACCATGCCTCCTCGCAAGAGCAACCTCCCAGATAAAGTCCCTGCTCAACGTGTCTCTGCCGCCGCCGCAGGTGCAGGACCACCCTTGCTTCAAGCCGCACCCTCAGAATTTGCTCCACATACGCTGGATAGTCTGGACACAGCCCAGAAGAAAGTAGCAGCTACCGCTCCAGTAATTGTCAGAAATTGGAGGTGTAGAGCGGTCCACCAACAACTAGAGCAGGTAGCAGGAGATCGCGCAAACCTTCTTGCTAGCACAAAGCTCTTCAACACATGGCGGGCCCCCTTCATCTCAGCGTCGACACGTCATAACCAAGATTCTGTCCGCTACATATGGACTAAACACTTTACATGGCTTCACGGTTCCCAGGAGTCTGCCCTGATGACTTTGCAACCCAAAGCCCCCCTTCCAGACCTGGCAATCATGAAGGCGCTCATCCTGCATCTGGCTATGTCAGGTAGATCCAACAGAATACCAGGTGTGACGGGATGGAACTACAAAATCACCCTAAAGCGATTTTATAACATCTTAGGGATGGTAGGTCTCATGTGCATCATTTATTACTGTAACCCGCTCATTTACCCACAGTTGAGTCAAGCACAGGTTGAGACACCAACTGCAGAGTATAGAGATCAAGTACTTTCTAGCTGGGAATACTCGTCTGAATTGACCTAGAAATTGACCATTGGAGCAAAGAAAAGGGCCAAATCAGTACATGTAAAAAGGAAAAGTTCTTGATGCGTGAAATTGATTATATTACATTTCTGGCGGCCATTCTCGATCCCGCACTCATGATTCGCCACGAGTTCCAAGTACGATTTTTTTCTAAATGGCATGACGAGATATCTTATAACAAACAGCACGTGCAACTCTCGTTCATAAGTTAATTCTTATGGGAGTTTGGATCCCGGATTGCAACATTTGCGGAACCCAATGAGGGGAAGGGGCTTGCGCAATGCGCACACTGGGCAGTAATTATCTTGATATCTTGTCTGCTTATTCCCCTCATGTGAACTCCTTGGTCAATGTCGTGTTTGCCGGAAGCAGCAAATGGGGTTTGTTTTGAATATATGAAGGGGATGAAACATGACGCCAGCACCAGGTGATACCCTGCATGGAACAGAGGCGCACATAGATGGTCTGCTGCCGTTGCTTGCATTTGGCGTCCACCTAGGAGTATGGGAAGAGGATGGCTTACCTTGGATCTTAGGAGAAGTGGACCCTCCACTTGCACTGTACAAGCTCCGCATCAAAGAGGAATACAAGAACACGTCGATATCTAGGGCTGTCAATCAGCCAGCTCCAGATGCTCCTGCTCCCCATACCGGTGCGCACTGCGCAGCACACTGATGTCATCGGAAGCTACACATTGTTGAACTACTTGTCATTCAAGAAATACGCGCATCTCAAGATCTTCATGTCCAGCCCTAACCACTGGAGAATCCGATTGCTGATATTCGAGACGACGCGCTTGGGAATCGAAAGGTGTGATTTCCGATGCACGGGTTTTGTGGTGACGCGAGTTGGTAAGACGCCGAGTTTGCTTGGGTGTGGAAGTAGGGTCCGTTAGGAGGAGATGTGACACGCGCTTGTAACAAATCAGATATACGAGATAGAGGAGAGACGAAGAAAAACGTACCGAAACTGACCGACACCAATTCAGAAGCCGTCCAGACATCTCGAGGTTTTCTTCCTGCCTCCCATGAACAGCGACGATCTCCACCGCGAGAGCACGGCATTCTAGGAACTTGAGTGACACAAGGTGCCCAGGACAATATTTTGATGAGACAAAGCCTGAAAATATTGTGAAGGTGCTCTGTGTGTGATAACACTATGATCAATGAACATATGATAGGCCCAATTCTGTATTTTATCGAAATCATAGTGTGAACAAATTCAGAATTCATTCTCTAAAGATATGTAAAAAACCTTCACAATGTCTTACAATATAATCAGTGAAGATTTTATAATATGTTCACAATATAGTCAGGTAGTCAAACTATTTTCACCATATCTTCACCATAGTCTGGAATACCTCACTATATTGTAAACATATTATGAAGTGTTCACTGATTATATTGTGAAAATATTGTGAATGTTTTTTTACATTTCTTTAGGGGATAAATCCTGAATTTGTTCACACTATGATTTTCAACAAAATACAAAATTTGCTTTACTATATGTTCACTTATCATAGTGGTGTTGCGCAAAGAGCACCTTCACAATATCTTCAGGCTTTGTTTCATCAAAATACTGGGCTTCCCTTCAGCAGTCGACATCTGGATTGCAACTGGGCTGTCTCGAGCGGCGGTCAGGACGGCGATCACGCCATGCACACCGCCATTCCCCGGAAATCCTTTCATTGCAGACATTGCGGAATGTGCGATCAGTGTCCATAGAAAAGAGGTCCGTCTATCCTATTCTTTACCTATTCGAACATAATGGCGATGCTCATTTGGATCCAATCACAGGGTGAGATCGAAGGACCTTTCCAGGACCCTCATATATACATACTACGCCTCGTTGTGCATATCTCGCCCTCCTCTGGATTCCTTATCTACCATCAGCAGAGCCCGCCTGTCATCCTCGCTCGCTACACTGGGAATGACACCAACATCGAAGCACCTGACTGGGTTACCCAAGTCCACAAATCATTCAAGTGATGTATCATACATCTGATGACCGTGGTACGGTTCAGGCACTTGCAAAAGAGCTCAACGACTCAAATGAAGATGGTAGCTTATTCCTTTCATGCCACCCAACGGGGGTCACCTTCAGGACCTTGGGTTGAATTCGTGACGAAGCAGGAGCCAAAGCTTTGTCATCGGTCACCTCAGAAAAGAGGAAGTCCGTAGCAAGCGCATCTTCAACTCCGACCGTGTTTCCTTCACCGTATTGTTCACGAAAGGGCTTGATAGCTTCGCGAAGGTCGTTTGCTTCCTGTCATCACTAGTAAGTATTAATTCTTGCAACTAGAACTGTTCCTCACTTTCTTCTTCCGGACATTTCTTCTCCCATTGATAATCTTTTCTTCGCGTTTCATCTTTGCCGCTTCCTCGTTTCGTGCCTAGTTAAGTGAATGAAGTCATTCGAAAGATTCAATACAACGCTGACATACTTTATAAACTCCCGACAAATTTCTGAAATAACTCTTGGCTTTCTCCATAAATCTCCTCTGGTCGTTTTCGGAGATCTGATGCCGCAGTGATGCGAGTAAGTCTCTTTGCCTGTCATGAGCGGGTTCGTCAGCGGCTAGCGGTGGAGGGAGTTCGGGCACTCTTCGAGCGCCGTATTTTTCAACACCTATGAGCGAGAGCATCTTCTTCTGGATTAAACACTAGAATGTTCGTCAAGTTAGTCTAGAGTCTATCTATTAACTGGTAAATGATGTACCTTTTCATCAGTGTTGCGCTTTTGCTTTTGCTTTCCAACTGTAGAAGCTGTCGCGGCCATGGACCCAGCCATCTTTTCCGCAATTAGCTCCGCCAACCTTTCCTCTAAGTCCGTGACTTGCTTTGTGACCTCTTGCACTACGGCATTTGGGAGGTGCGCATGCAGAGATTCCTGGACTGCGTTCTGCACAACACTGACATCCACCGCAGGTGGCATCATGTTGAAAGGGTACATTTGGTATGGTGCCATTGCGGATGGTGGTGCGGTCGTCAGGACTGTCGGCATATACTGCTGCTGTAATGACGGGCTAGTGGGGCTCTTGTTAATTGTACTGTTTCTCTCACCACTGATCCTCTCAGAGCAGGACTATTGACAAGTGTTCCAGATGCTACCATGCCACCTGCCATCATAGACATGTACTGGTGCTATGATAACATGTTAGTGTGGCTTTTCAGTCATTCATGCCGTGACCGTTCTACTAACTGCTGGCCCTTTTGGTGCAGGACTATTGTGTTAGAAACGCCTTCTGGGCTATCTAATCTCGTTCCCAACCTATCTCCCATCAACCATCTTGATGGTTGTTACTGTACAGCATTCCTGTGTTGCAGGCTGTGTTGGTTGCATCACCATCTTGATGGTGACTTACTAAGGTAGAAGCCATCCATAGCTGGCCAATGTCACGTGAGGTTACTTTTTTCTGTGACTTTACTGAGCAAATCGGGCGACTACCTGAAGATTTGAGGACTAGACGGCACCACACTCGAAATCCAACAAAGTGGGCCCATAGGATTATAGGTATATACAATAGGATATGTGATTACGAAGGATCTAGAGAAAAATTCAAAATTGACAGAGCCTATTGTGAATTATAAGTTAAATCAGTAGTTGAAAAGTCTATTGCACGCCGGCACGCTCTAATTCTTGCAGGATCCTCTCTGGGAGCACTCAGTGGCCTTTGTACTTCCTTGCTGCCCATGCTGCCTGTCTCCCGTTGAGACCTAGTCGATATGCCGCCATGAATCATTGTGATCGAGTGGCAAATCTGATATCAAAAGATAAGATCGTGCCGAGACCATGCCATGGGAATAGACGTACCATCGCATCGATACAAGAGGTATTGCATCAAGGGCCTCAAGCGCATTCTTCTCTAACATGTCCTCCCTGGAAGACTCCGGGAACAGCCTATAGAGCCGTTTGGCATATCCCCAGCATTGTTCAATGAAGTTGAGTTCACAATGGAATTTGGGTAGGAAAATGACCTTGAATTCACGGGCTGCACAGTGAGTCTCCAGAAGAGTGGGTGCGTCCAAAAAATCCGGTTGGGTAAAGAGAAGCCGACGGCAACAGCAATTCACGGCACCGGGTGCACATTTAAATTTCTCGCACTGGGCACGGAGTTTCATGATTTTCTC